TTGTGTATGTGTTTTTGGCCCCACAAGTCAATGCATACAAACGGATTGCTCCTGCTGTCCCCCTTTCCTCCCCACCACCTGCCCGGAGGCCTTACAATCGGAAAGTTGACAAAAATAAATGTAGTCAGTGCCAACAGCCCCGGAACAAAGAAAGTGGCCACAGCCAGTATTATGGGTACATATACTGTCCCCAAAATGCTGGTATTCCACTTGACCAGTGGATGGAGGAGATGCGGAAGAAGAGGGCAGATAAGAAATAGATTGGTTTGTCTTTGTCTCATACTGTGTAGATGTGTAGTGGAAATACTTCAGTCATGTTCTATTAGTTCGTTGATGTAACTGTTCAATATTCATCCCATATAACAGGCATTTAAAAAAATCAACATAACAGAAATAACACACTGTATATTACTGTTTTTTGTGTGAGCCTTGCAAGGTGTGTTGATTTTGTTATTTGTATACTTTTACCAGCTGACCAGAATCTTCTACTTTTATTACTTTTTGTATTTTATTTATTTATTTATTTTATATTTGTATTTTATATATAATTCTTCAATTTCTTTGTATCTGTGATATGCTTACTGTGTGAGAGAGCAAGAGAAAGAGACAATTAAGATGTATGTTTTGTAATAAATTTGTAATATATTTAAACAGCAAGGCCTTTATCTTTATTTATTTAACAGTCACTCAGAGAAAACAATTACAAACTTTCAATTCTAATTCCTTTCATTTTAAAATTATTAATTGAAGTATATAAAGTATTAATGAATTGGGTATTTTTTCTCAAGCAATGTAAAACACATACATACATACAAACAATACATATTAATACTTTTTATACATTTTTGTCAAAACAAAACATACATGTGTAGGTGTCCACTAGTGCAACTAATTGATAGAAATGTTTCTTGCATTGCTATTTAAATTAAGTTAATTATTATCTATATCATTGTTACATAAGTACGTTCACTTATGTACACTAAGTACATATATTTGACTGTATGACATTCATAATAAGCCATTGTCCTATTTGTATCAATTAATAAGTGATTAATTAAATGATTGGTAATATTTCAGTGAGAGTTTTTGGTTAGAGATGCCTGCTCCAGTCGGGGATCGAACCTTTGGATCCACAGCGCCCCATGCAATATTACAGCAAAGCATTATCTATGGACATATTTATCAAACTAATAGTGTAATATATGTGTCCTGTAGCTTCTGACGGGCAGCAGAGTCAATATTAACTCCCATTTCACTTCATTTTTTCTCAATTTTTCTCTTTTTCCTACATTTAATAAACTTATGGAACAGTAATTAGCAGGATCCATCGTGTCTCTATACGGTTTTGGTAAGAGTGATATTAAGGCTTCATTAAAACTGTCAGGCAACATATCATTCTCAAGTACCTCTGCATGTACCTCATTTAATATTGGGGTCAACTCATCGACAAACTTCTTATAATATTCTACTGGGAATCCGTCAGCGCCTGGTGTTTTCCAGATTTCAAAGACATTATAACAGTTCTGACCTCCTCTTGTGTTATAGGTCCATCTATTGAGGCTCATTCGTCAGGGGTTAAAGTGGGCAATGTAATATTAGCTAGAAAGTCTTTTAACTTGAAATAGGAATTATTAAATTTCCCGGTCAAACCCCACATATTCGAAGACTGAACCAAATCTGTAAATTAGAGATTCCTATTAATGATCTGCTTTTAGACTCCATGCAGAAAAGGCATCAACGGAACGCAAAAAAGAAAGCAGAAATGGAGAAGAAAAGAAGAAGTGACCGGACAAGAGACGATGGACATGCTTTTAATGGCTAAGGAGCTTCTTCGGATAATTCGTCAACATGAACGCATAAAATAAATGGTTGATGAAAAGGGTTAAACAATTTATTGAAGTTAATGAGTTTAATTTGAAGATGGAAACTTTGCGAAGTGAGGTTGACTGTTTGAGGATTCAAAGAGCCAGCGCCACTTCGAAGAGTATAAACGGTTAAACTGACATCCTGTCAAAAACGAGAGCAGGTGTCACTATTTGGGTTAACAGTTAAAAAATGGAAAATGTTAAGGTGTGAAAACCTGTTCATATATTTTTGCAAAGGTGTTGCTGCATTGTAGTAAAGTAGATGCATAGTTGTGGGTAGCATAAAAAGGTCAGACAGGTCCCTGTGTTAGTGAATCGGAGATAAACTTTGTTTGAACCTCTCCGCATATATTTTTGGAGATGTATGCACGTGTGTATGCTGTGCTTAGTGTGATGATTTAATGGAATTGCAACTCGCTGAAACAAGGAGTGTGACCAAGTGTTTCGTGTGTCTTGTACTTATCCAATGGAGTGTTTGAATAGATGCTTTGCAGGAGAGGAATGGTGTAACGCCCTCTCCTATATAATGAAGCGCTTTATGATTTTGCGGGGCCGAGAAACGGGTGAAGATTACACGCTGTTATTTTCTTGAATTTTGCTTATGAGTTATTGTTTTTAATAAAAGCGAAACCATTTGTATATGGTGATTCGGTAAACTTTCTTTTAATCAAGTCTCCGAGTAATTTATTAAGGGTAACACATTATCTGAATTTAGTTCATAAATCTCCAGTGTGGACCTCATAGAGGTGAAAACCCTGCTGAGCCGTCAGGACGTTTCGTCGTGGACCTTGGACCTCGCATTCCACTTCCCATTAATGAGAGGTAAGGGCTGTATTTGCTTATGACAGCTACAGGTGACGGACAAAGTGTACATATGAGGTTTATTGGTTAATTAAATACGGAATTATACAACATGGCGTCCAATGTGTGAGGCCCGAGTGTGACGAATTCGGGTCAGAAATCAGAAATATTCCCACCAGAAGTTGGCATGACCT